TTAAACCAGAACTGTGTTAAAACTGTATATTTTGGGTTTCAGGGAACAGTATGACATAATCGTTCTTAAGACTTGATGCAAAGTGTCCAGAAATGGTTCATTAAATATGTTTTTGTATGACACATTTACAAGTTTTTGCATAAACAGCATCCTCTCTTTCAATATTCCTCATTATTATGATTATGATTTTGGTTGGAAACATTGGAACAATAAGCTCACCCTTTACTTTAGCTATGAAGCTGTGGTGTTTCTCTTCCAAATGAAATCTGTAAAGCATGTCTACTGGCAAATCCATTCCTATTACGGCAAACCAACCAACGTGTGCTTCTGTCGGTTCTTTGAGATCACTGTAATGCACAGGGCATTTCATAGCCCACTGCTAATGCTGTTTACAAAATTCAAGCCTTTCTAATCTTGCTGGATGAGATCTTTCTGGAGGAGGCTTGTGCTGATATATGGAAAAAGAAAAGGGAGCACCTATCTCTGTCTGTATCGTTTACCTTCTCAGCCAAGGGAGAATAGAGGCAAATCAGACTTCCATCTTGACTTTCAAGTGACTTGAAGAATGGAGGACAGTCTGTGCATCATATGTTTATTTGCCTTTACATTCCTCAAAGTTAACGCTGTCTCCGCACTGCAGCTCGGCTCGTGTCCAGGAGAAGAAAAGCAGGGAAGGGTGTTTCTCATCACAGAGATTTATTTTTCTAATTCTCAGGCTCACATCCTTCAGCCGTTCATCATCCTCCTTTTTATTTTCTTCAAGATAGGAATCTAGTTTCAAGATCTGACAAAATGTAGGTTTACCTACCACATGCTCAGCAAAGCGTGCAGTCCTTGAGTTCAAAATTATTAATGTATATGAAAATAAAGCTACACAATCAGTACATTTAATGATTAACAACAACAACAAAAAAATCCTCAGTACGTCAGGCTCACTTAAATTCTCATTTACAGGGTTTGCAGCTTATACTGTATGTACTTACCTGTACATGATCAATCACAAGTTTGGATTTTTTTACTAAATCATTTGAATTGTTTTTTTTTTTTTTGGAACTGATCAATTGTAGTGATTGTTCATAGTGACTTCTGCATGCAGAATCTAGACAGAGAAGTTCAAAATAAGTGTTTATTTGTGTCACTGTGTAATTGTCATGCTTCTGTCTGCTATGACTTTTTATCTGTTTGAATCAGTTTTTATAATGTCAGTATTTAATCAGTTAGTCATGTCAAATCTCTTTCAGATTTCAGCTTTGACGCAGTATCACATTTAAATAAAGGAATTAGTAAATAAGTAAAGGTGCATGATTTCACGTCAGCATGATTTATTGCATGCACAACTGCAACGGTGTTGCAAAATTCCTAACTGCTCTTTCATAACTACTCCTCTAATTGGCCTTACAGCTTTTTTAAGACTTAAAGTATTAATCCATAGAAGAAACATTCTCATCAACAAACTAATATGTTCCAAACAACGCTGTAAGCTGAAACTGTCAATCATTTGCAATGGAGCGTGGTGCTCTGAGTCATGCCTTCATTAATGTGTTAATTAGCCGTGACCTGGAGGGGAATCAAGTCGTCCCACATAGAGAACATGTGAATTTAATACCAGTCATTTATTTGCCAAACAAGTCACCAAAACAGCCTTAATGATTCCCTGTGCGTCAATTAAACCACCATTCAAAGCTTTATTACATTTATTCATTTATAACCTTATGAATTACGTTACTGATATAATGTAGATGTCCCAAAAATCACAGCGTTTCATTAGAGATTCCTTAATAAATCTGTACCTTTATGAAGGGCCTTAATGAAAAGGCAAAACAGCAGTTGCACTGGACTATGACTGCAGTCATATATATCACGCTTTTTCTTCTTTAAACACAAAACTGTCCTGATGCCAACTTCTAGATCTACTGGCAGCTCGGATTTGTACAAGCATTCATAATAGCTTTTTGTTCAACTGCACGAAAACACTGAATGCAATAAGTAGGGCTAAAGTCATTAACTATTGGACGCAAGCAAAGCATGACTGACTAAATATTAGGAGCTACTGGACTGATTTAAGCACTTGACAAAGTGGAAAATATGAGCTGTGTTTGTCTACATCTTCAGTTAATCAGCAAAAGGTACATTTAAACAGCGTACTTAAAGCATATTTGCATTTGATCATGTGGTAATTCTGGTTTCCTCTGAGAGAGGTTCAGATGAGGCTGTACCGCAGCGGTCACTGAGGACGGCCGACTCGCTGTAGATGCTAGCAGCTTGTTGCAGACAGGTATCTGAGAACAACTCTGCTCTCACCTCTCACACGGAGACAGGAAATCCTCTGTCTGATGCTGATACCAGGCTGTGACATGGTTACCGTGGTGATCGGACACTTCCTGTCCAGAGTGTGTTCAGAGGGCGGAGCTTCTCTCTGCGCTCATCAATCGGCCGAAAGGTGGTTATGTTTTCAGTGCAGATCAGTATCACATCGTCCGTTCGCTCAAATGTTCCACCGCACTCATTGTCTGACACGCATCAACACTTTCCCTCTTGAATATCTGACATGTGTGTGCTTCATTTACATTAGACGCTAATTCTTCAGATAACTTTACCTGACTTAAAACAGCAACATTTCCACTGTAAAGTGAATTAAATATGTGAATTTTTAACAGAAACATACCACTGGATTGTATATGCCCACATTATCACAGACTACTGTATAAATAAAGCGTTGTTAAACGTTCAGTCTTTAAAAAAAAAAAAAATAATAAAGAATAATTCCTTGATCCCTAAATGTTATTTTATTTAGATTTGAATGGAAAATTCAATCATTTACCATCCATTTCTTTTGAGTCATTTTAAGGAAAAAATTTCATTTGCCTGAAAATCTCAGGAAAATTCCTATACAGTAGCAATCATTGAAAATGTCCAATATTGATTTGCTATCCCTAAAGACCTAGATGATTTCATACCAGTACAGTAAGTTCATATAACATGAAAGGATAATATGAATTTCTTGTGATATCATTGCATTTTGCCTCTATGCATATTAATGTTATTAAGGTAGACAGCTGATTGCAGATGCCAAATTGACTGATGTTAGCATTTAAAATTATTTTCTACTGCATTACACTCTACAAATAGTGAAGTGAAGTCTTCGGAATAATGTGATAAAGTACAGTTTACTGTTACTGATATCAGCAGTAAGTCATAAAGACACATGCAGCGCACAAACTGAATCATTTCATTCAAGCTTCTTTCAGAAAACTTGCACCAATTTGAAAGTAAATGAAAACCCAGTTTGTAAGCTGAAGTTTTTTTGTTTTTTTCCAACAGCAAAAGTGTAGCCTGCCTCAGACTAAAAATTTTTGTCACCCCTAATCATGTTTTGAATCTGTGAGATAATGTTCTGTCCTTGCAAAGCGTGTGAAGGTTTTGGCAAGATGACAGTATATGTAAACTTTCCACTAGCTTATTAAAGATCTTTGTTCCATTTCTTCACTGCCTCATCTGCAAGTCAATGCCAGGGCAGTTCACAGCTTGCGCTTGTAGTTTTAATCTCTGATCTGCCGACTGTGAGTGATTCTTCCCATGTGTGGCTTTCTCTTTCACATGACAACACTGGCCTTGAGTGGCTTTTTTTTTTTTTTTTTTTAGGCCCCAAAATAATAATAACAATGAAAATAGAGCATGTATAATCCTTTACTGAATAATGACAGGGTATTCGTGCAACTGCATAATAAAATACCATGCTTACTGCATTGCTGCTAATAAACACCAAAGAAGCTGGGACATATGGATTTGGTTAAATGGCCTCCAAGGAACATGCAAATGCTATTAAAAATCTTTGTCATTGGAGGGTCTGTTCACATTCTCCATCACAATTTTGTGACGCAAACCGGGTCTGGCTTCGAAATGTAATTTCATAATTGATGCCTAGGCTAACAAGACCTCCTGGGAGGCTGTTAGCAGTCGTAAAGCATTGGACCCACCGGCCCACCCATCATGAGCCTTTCCCGAGCCCATGCACTGTAGCCCACGACATGAGACTAACCTTGCCTTATGGCAAAGAATACATGGAAATACTGTAGTGCTTTTCCAAAACAAACAAACAAACAGTCATGACATTACAAAATTGCTATCTTTTGTTATTAATATTTCAATAAATATAGTGAACAATAAATTATCTTCAAAACAAACTCTTTCATCTATTTGCAGGTAAAGTCTGTATTTGTTGTTCCATCATGAACCTCTAGGGGTTTGTGATTTCTCATTTACGAAGCACTTGATTAGTTCAGGTTAACAAATTTGTTTCACAATCAAAATAAGTTTGTGATTAAGTTGAATGTGCATAGCATTTAGTTTGTAGACATTTAGTATACTGCCAATGAAAAATAAGGACAAAGCTTTCAGGAAAAAGCACTTTCCACTAGCAGTTAACCAGCTTACATGCATGCACTCGGTTTTTCTCTCAGCATTTCTCCTCTTCTCTAGCTTGCTTTCTAATCTAATTGTCTAATGATCCTGACATTGCATACAAATATTGTTGGCTCTTTGACGAATTGCTTCGTTCCTCTTTTGTAAGTGGCTTTGGATAAATCTGCTTAATGCATGAATGTAAAATACCACTCATTTAGCTGGTTTACAAGGCTTGTGCTACAACTACATCCACTTTGATGACAAAGCATCAGTTTCACACATAACGCCAACCCATTCTTTTGTATTAGCGCTTTAAAGCATCCTGTTTTGTCAGGGAAGAAAACAATTGAGAACAAATGTGAAATGAAAATGGGTTCATTTCAAAGACTTCACTTGAAGGCCGTGTGCGATTCCCGAACTCGTGAGGAGTGACTGACATCAGCTAGTTGTCCAGAGAAATGCCTTTCAAGGCCTTCAGAATCAGATTTCCTCAGAGACGTGGCTTTTGTTTGAATTCTTCTCCTTGCGTGTCTGTTAGGGTTGGGGTTGGGAAACATGAAAGACAGATCCTGATGACGCGTGTTTTTCTGTTTCAGGGGTGTATGTGCCACCGGGTTCAGCTGGAGCAGGACCAGGAGGTGCTGGATTGTTACCAGGTGCTGGATTTTACCCAGGTATAACCAACTACAGCCATGATCCGCTCACCGCTTTCATTTGTACCAAATGAAGAAATGACACTGGCCATGTCAGTTGATTTCAATCAGAGCTCGGAATGGATTTCACATACAACAATCTGATGCTACTCACGTTATGCACACTTGAAAGTGAATATCTTGTTTACTTGCTAGTCTCAAATAAAACTTTTGAAAGTCTTCCAAAGACTAGATGCATTTCACACGCTTTGTGGTGTCTGAGAGTAAAGCTGAACCATCTTCATCTTACACTTGACAAGATGTGAACTCATCTGCATTGACAGGGCTCTAACTCGTACTGGTTTTAACAGGTGCTGGGACGTCCCAATACAAAGCAGCAAAAGCAGCAGGTAAGATCATTTTGCTTTGACCATAAACACTCTAGAAGTGATTTGAGACCACTGAGACCAGAATCATGTATTGTTTCCCATCCTTCAGACCTCATTGACTCATTTTATCATCTGCTCCTTTACTCACCTATTCATTCATTCATTCAATCAACCAGCCAACAATCCAAACAGCCCAACGATCAATCAGCCAGATTCATGAATGCATTTGGCTGCAGTAGAAGCACCTTGTTCCAAACCTCCTTAAATTAGAATATTGTTTTTCTAATTGCTGTCCTTCAAATTCAAATTCACTGTAAACCCACATGGATATACTGTTAAATTGCTTTGTTTTTGTTGAGAGCTG